ACATAGTGAAACCCCCGTCTCTACTAAAAATACAAAAAAATTAGCTGGGTGTGGTGGCGGGTGCCTGTAATCCCAGCTACTCGGGAGGCTAAGGCAGAATTGCTTGAACCTGAGAGGCAGAGGTTGCAGTAAGCCGAGATCGCACCACTGCATTCCAGCCTGGGCAACAGTGCAAGACTCCGTCTCAACAACAACAAAAAACTTAAAACATTAGCCAGATGTGGCTGTGTGCACCTGTAGTCCCAGGTACTCAGGAGGGCGAGACAGGAGGACTCCTGAGCCCTGGAGTTCAATGTTGCAGTGAGCCATGATTGCACCACTGCACTCTAGCCTGGGCAATAGATGGACACCCTGTCTTTAAAACATAAATAAAACCAGTAAGTGGGCCAAATTTGGCCCATAGGCCAAAGTTTTCTAATCCTTGATCTATATAGAAAATCTTAGAAATTTCTCAGATAAATTACCAGAATTAGTAAGAATTAACAAAGGTCATTAGATACAAATTATGGAATAGAGTAGGGAGGTTCCTCAAAAACTTAAAAATAGAACTGCCATATAAATTCAACAATCCTTCTACTAGGTATATAACCAAAGGAAATTAAATTACTATGTCGAAAAGATACCTGCATTCCCATGTTCACTGCAGCACTATTCACAGTAGCCAAGATATGGAGTTAACCTAAATGTCCATCAATGAATGAATGGATTTAAAATGTTGTAATATACACAGCAAAATGCTATTCAGCCTTAAAAAAGAAGGAAAATTTGTCATTTGCAACAACATGAATGAACCTGGAGGACATTATATTAAGCAAAATAAGCCAGGCTCAGAAAGACAAATATCACTTACATGTAGAATCTAAAAAAGTCAAAAACTCATAGAAGCAGATAGTAGAATGGTGGTTACCAGGGACTGGGACAGGTAGGTGGAGTATAGTGGAGGGAAATTTTGAAAATACAACATTTCAATTAGGAGGAATAAGTTCAAGAGATTTATATTGTACAATATCACGACCACTGTTAATGACAATTTACTGTTGTTGTTATATATAATTGAAATTTGTTAAAAGTAGATTTTAAGTGTTATAAATGCTAAGTATGTGAGGATATATATATATATATATATAAATTAGCTTGATTTAGCCATTCCACAATATATACATATTTCAAACATCATGTACACCATTAAAAAAATTTATCTTTTTAGGCCTGGCACGGTGGCTCACGCCTATAATTCCAGCATTTTGGGAGGCCAAGGCAGGTGCATCACTTGAGGTCAGGAGTTTGAGAGCAGCCTGGCCAACATGGTGAAACCCTGTCTGTACTAAAAATACAAAGATTAGCTGGATGTGGTGCCGCACACCTGTAATCCCAGCTACTCAGGAGGCTAAGGCAGGAGAATTGCTTGAACCTGGGAAGAGGAGGCTGCAGTGAACCGAGATTGTGCCACTGCACTCCAGCCTGGGTAACAGGCTGGAATACAGTGGCACAATCATAGTTTACTACCACCTTGACCTCCTGGGCTCAAGCCATCCTCCTACCTCAGCCTCTCAAGTACCTGGGACCCCAGGTGTGCGATACTCTGCCTGGCTACTTTTACATTTTTTTGTAGAGACAGCGTCTCATTATGTTGCCCATGCTGGTCTCTAACTCCTGGCTCGAGTGATCCTCCCACCTTGGCCTCCCAAAGGAGCCACTGCACCTAGCCAACAAGGAAATTTTAAAATAAAGGGCATAAACTGCCTGGGCACGGTGGCTCATGCCTGTAATCCCAGCACTTTGGGAAGCCGAGGCAGGTGGATCACTTGAGGTCAGGAGTTTGAGATCAGCCTGGCCAACATGGTAAAACCCCGTCTTTACTAAAAATACAAAAATTAGCTGGGCGTGGTGGCAGGTGCTTGTAATCCCAGTTACTTGGGAGGCTGAGGTGGAAGAATCGCTTGAACCTGGGAGGTGGAGGTTGCAGTGAGCCAAGATGATGCCACTGCATTGGGCGACAGAGTGAGACTCTGTCTCAAAAAAAAAAAAAAAAAATTATATATATATATATATATATATATATATATATATATGAAAATAGATATTGAAAAGTTACCCAGAATATAACATATGGAAATGAAAAGATAGAAAATATAAAGGAGCAAGTTATAAGAAAAGGAGAGTCAAACCTGAATGTTTCATACATATATTTGGAGCTCCAAAAGAATAGAGAAAATCAGCGATAGATAATATTGGAATAATGCCTGAGAAACTTTCAGAATATATGAATAATATGAATCTTAAGACTTGGAAAGTCAAACGAATCCCAATAAAGATAAATAAAAAAAGATCCAAATTTACATATACCGGTGAAATTGCAGTGTATGTAAATTTCATATGTAATTTAGACATATGGAAATATGTCTAAAGACAGAGAGAAGATTAACCAGAGGGGGAAAAAAGATAAATTACTCAAAGTGACAGTCAGACTAATAGCAGACTCACAAATAGTAACAATGGAAGATAGAACTCTGTGGGAAATTATCCTAAATATTCAGAAAGCAACAACGACCTAAAATTATATGCTCAGCTAAACCTTTATTCAATAAGATGAGTTGAGCTGGGCATAGTGGCTCTCAAGTGGGAGGATCACTTGAGACCAGGAATTCAAGACTAGCCTGGGCAACACAGCAAGACCCCATCTCTTCAGAAAATTTAAAAATGAGTCAGGAGTGGTGGTGCACACCTATAGTTTCACCTACGTGGAAGGCTGAAGTGGGAAGATCCCTTGAGCCTGGGAATTTGAGGTTATAGTGAGCTATGATTGTGCCACTGCACCCCAGCCTGGGCAACAGAGGAAGACCCAGTCTCTTAAAAAAGAGTGAAATAAAGATTTTCAGAACAGGCCGGGCATGGTGCTCACGCCTGTAATCCCAGCACTTTGGGAGGCCAAGGCGGTGGATCACCAGAAGTCAGTAGTTTGAGACCAGCCTGGCCAACATGGTGAAACCCTGTCTCTACTAAAAATATGAAAAATTAGCTGGATGTGGTGGCAGGTGCCTGTAATCCCAGCTACTCGGGAGATTTATATTGTACAACATGACCACTGTTAATGACAATTTACTGTTATTATATATAATTGAAATTTGTTAAAAGTAGATTTTAAGTGTTATCATCATAAATGCTAGGTATGTGAGGATATATATATATAAATTAGCTTGATTTAGCCATTCCACAATATATACATATTTCAAACATCATGTACACCATTAAAAAAATTTATCTTTTTTTAAAGGCTGAGGCAGGAGAATCGCTTAAACCCGGGAGGCGGAGGTCACAGTGAGCCAAGATTGTGCCATTGCACTTCAGCCTGGGCAACAAGAGTGAAACTCTGTCTCAAAAAAAATAAAATAAAAAAGATTTTCAGAACAATAAAAAAATGAGAGAATTTACCTCAACAAAGTCTAACTTTAAAAATTCTGGCCGGGTGCAGTGGTTCATGCCTGTAATCCCAGGCATGGGTGTGGTGGCACGTGCCTGTAATCCCAGCTACTTGGGAGGCTGAGGCAGGAGAATCACTTGAACCCAGGAGGCGGAGGTTGCAGTGAGCCGAGACAGTACCATTGCACTCCAGCCTGGGCAACAAGAGCAAAACTCCATCTCAAAAAAAAAAAAAATCAATCTTAGGAATGCACTTCAGAAAGAAAGGATCAAAAAGGAATGTTGGAGATGAAGGAAGGAATAATGAGCAAAAACATTAAGCATGTGTGTAAATCTAAAGATACATTGACTGTAAATTCTATTTTTTTTTTAACAGCCGGATGTTTTACAACTTTTTCTTCTAGTACTCATTTTCACTATATTTTCTCATAGAATTATATCCTGTTATATGCTTAGGCTGGTGTGCAGTGGCACAATCATAGCTCACTGCACCCTCCACATTCCAGGCTCAAACCATCCTCCCACCTCAGTCTCCAGCTAATTTTTTATTTTTTGTAGAGACAGGGTCTTGCTATGTTGCCCAGGTTGGTCTTGAACTCCTGGGCTCCATCTCTCCTCCCGCCTCAGCCTCCCAAAGTGTTGGGATTACAGGCGTGAGTCACCACCCCCAGCCTACTGATCATTCTTATCGGTATCAAAAATATGCATGTAAACTGACATTAATTTTTAAAATTGTTTTCTGTGACCACAGGGCTATTAGTGTTACATTTCTTCTGGATTTAATGATCGTTACAATATTATTAGCCTACAATTGATTAAAACAACATATATTATTTTAAATAATAATTATTAACATAAAATAAAATTTATTGGAAAGACATCTCATTTTTGAAGTTTCTTTTTTTTTTTTTTTGAATAGAGATAGCGTCTATCTGTCTGTCACCCAGACTGGAGTGCAGTGGTGTGATCATAGCTCACTGCAGCCTCAAACTCCTAGGCTCAAGTGATCCTCCCACCTCAGCCTCCTGAGTAGTTGGAACTGTGAGTGCACACCACCACATTCAGCTAATTTATTTTAATTTTTTAAATTTTTGTAGAGATGGGGTCACCATCTTGCCCAGGATGGTCTTGAACTCCTAGGCTCAAGCAATCCTCCTGCCTTGGCCTCCCAAAGTGCTGCGGTTACAGGCATGAGCCACCATGTCTGGCCTCAAATATTTTTTAATTGACACATTGTAACTGTACACATTTATAGGGTACAATTTGATGTCTTGATACATATATATTGTATAATGAGCAAATCAGTATTAGCATGCACTTATCATTCCTTTGCAGTAAGGACATGTAACAGTCACTTTTCTAGCTATTTTATAATATACTATATCTTACTACTAACCATCATCACCCTACTGTGCAATATAATACCCTAGAACTTATTCCTCCTAATTGTAACTTTGAGCCCACTGACCAAGCTCGCATCATCCTCCCTAAATTTTATTTTGAAGGGCAAAAATATGATTATTACTGAACCGTTATATTTATGATAACTCTAGATTTTGTTGGCTTGGTTTCTCCTGTAGGTATACAGAAGATGGGTGTCCACATAAGAAATTCTTTCACACACGTTTTCTTATGCGAATGAGGTTAACACCAGATTGTTCCAAAATGTTGATTTCAACGTCCTCTGGATATCTCTTAATTTTGCATGATCTTGACTTAACTAAGTCTTTAGAAGTAGGCAGCTATCCCATTTTAAGAGCAAGAAGAACTACTTCAAGTTCAGGTAAGCTTTTCTTTTTTGGTCAAAAAGATTTTTCTCAAGAATCTCAAACATAGAGATAATATATGTTTCTTTTCTGAGAATGATAGCAGGAAAGGGGAAGACAAAAGGCATTCTTTAGAAAGCTCAGTGATGGGTTTTTATCCAAGCAAGTATAATGATTTGTATGTATCTCTGACATATCATTCATATGTACCTCTGAATCACAAATGGACTAGGAGGAATAACTGCCAACCCTAAAGTATTTTCTTTTAGCTTTATGCTAGCCACAGGATCTTTTCATCAGTAATTTAAAATCATCACTATCTCAAAAATTAGTGATGGCACAAGGTCTTAAGTCCTTCTGGAATCAAGCAGAGCTTTTATTAAGTTATGGTCAATACAGAGTTTTAGTTTTAAGTCTGTCTGTGTCCTAGACTTATAGATGTCCAGACACAGATAGTTGGTGCCATCTTACCTCATTACTCTCTAAACACTCTCTTGCTAAAACTCTGTCTCTTCTCCCATTGCTGATTTTGTTAGACTTAAGTGAATTTAGGGTTCAGAAAAACTTAAGTATTGTATTTTATCAACATTATGTGATTTAAAAAAGACTATATTTCATCTACCTTTGGGAAGGAGGTGAGTGGTTTACATTATGAACAAATTTATGTAATTTACATTATAAACAAAATCCAGGGGAAAAAAGACTTAAGCATTTGGAACATAGAATGCTAATAAATTGCTATTAAAAAGCAGCTTCGAATGGTTGGGACCAGGTACAGGGGCTCACACCTGTAATCCCATGACTTTGGGAGGCCAAGGTGGGAGGATCGCTTGAGCCCAGGAGTTCAAGAGTAGCCTGGGCAACATAGGGAGACCTCATCTCTACAAATAACTTAAAAATCTAGCCAGGTGCAGTAGCTCACGCTTGTAATCCTAGCACTTTGGGAGACTGAGGTGGGTGAATCGCTTGAGCCTGGGAGTTTGTGACCAGCCTGCACAACATGGTGAAACCCTGTCTGTATGAAAAATACAAAAATTAGCCAGATATGCTAGCATGCATCTGTAGTCCCATCTACTGGGGAAGGTGGGGCAAGAGGATCACCTGAGCCTGGCAGGTTGAGGCAGCAGTGAGCCACGATTGCGCCCCACTGCACTCCAGCCTGGGCAACAGAGAGAGACCCTGTGTCGGGAAAAAAAAAAAAAAAGAAAAAAGAAAAAAGAAAAAAAAGAAAAAATAAATAAAAAAATAAAAAAAGGTTGGAATCTTTCTCCATGTGCACAGGACTACTTCCGAAGATTCCTTTGGGAAAGTACAGACATCATTGTACTACAGTGCCTGGTGTAATTGCTAAAACTAGAAATTTAAGTTTTACCAACTTACTTGCAAACAAGGGATTTCATAAATATACGAGTATAATCCTTTTAGATTCAAATTTGCCTTTTAAGTTAAACATGATAAGCAACTCTAACTTAGTGAGAAATAGTGATTTTGAATGTCTAGTTGGCCTATTTCAACTCAAAAACCAACAAAGTTTTCAGTTTTCTAACGGTAATTCTGATAATAACATCACAGGATATTAGACTAGTAAGAATTCTTAACATAGGTGTGGGACCACTATCAAAATGTGATGATGAAATAGACATTGCTATTTGGAGTAATATATCAGACTCCACTACCTGATACTCATTTTATTTTTTTCAATGTAAACTTTGTGTCACATTTCAGAGTATTCACATAAACTTGGCACAGTAGTGCATGCCTGTAGGCCCAGCTACTCAGGATGCTGAGCCTGAGGTGGCAGGATCACTTGAACCCAGGAATTAGGAGTCCAGCCTGGGCAACATAGCAAGATCCTTGTCTCAAAAAAAAAAAAAAAAAAGACTATTCACGTAATTTCAGTAATGATAATGGAAGTTTTTGGTATACTTTAAAGAAGAATCTCTTCATGTTTGTGGTAATAGGCCTGATGTTTGGACCCTATTTTAACATAAAAACAATAGGCTTAAGAGCTTAGTTTTCATTTTCATTGAATTTTTTGGTTTCATTTTAGTACAGAAATGATGAGGATCCAAAGATGCTCCTATGATTATTTTGTTTTTCATTTTTATTTCACATAGTCAAGTCTTTAATATAAAAGATTCAGAAAGGGACTAGATCTTAGAACACTTCAAAGAGCTGTCTTGCCTTCCTCAGTCTTATAGGCCAGTTATATATGACCATTTTTTTTTAAATGTTAAAACTATGGTTCGAGCAGAATAATTAAAAAGTGAAGAGCCACTACCAGAGTTATGCTAGGTTTATTGTCAGAATTTTTTATATTTTTAAGATTTGACCACTTCATCAAGTTCATCTGGTCCTAGAGTTTCTGGCTCACCTTGTCATCATAGTGATTCTAATTCTTCTGAGAAACACATGTCACGAGCCTCTCAAAGAGAAGGTAGGTTAAAAGTTGGATTTTATAATCTTGTAACAACAGATTCTGCCAATATGATTAATTATTGATTGATTAAAATCAATTTTATGGTTTTGATCCATAAAAATAAAAGCAATGGAGATGAGGTGATTTATCCCTCAGTCATCATCTTCAAAAAGCTAACCAAGAGTCTCTGGGGTTGAATATCTTGAGTTAAATCTTAATGGAATATGAGCTTTGGTTTTATTAGCTGGACTTAGTTTGGTGTAGTTTGGAGAGGAAGTAGTTCAGAAATGTAGATTTCAATCAAGATTGTTGTGAAAATTAAATGAGATTATGCATGTGAAAGTTCTGTATAAATATAAGGCATGAATTTTCAGGTAATTGTGAAAGTCACCTGGCTACCCTCAGACTTTTTGCTCTGCCATTTCTTTGTCTGTGCAATGCCTGACAGCTTCAAAGGGTTTGTAGGATAAAGATACCATCTGGCTCCACTCTGTATTTCCCAGTTTTTTCCTAGCCATTCTGGCAGAACTAGGTGCTGTGCCCTATACCTTCCACCCCCCAATTGAAATGGTTTCTACCTATACAAATTCCACATACTATTCCTCTTCATACTAATCCACATCTAAGCTCTTACATTATTTACTGTTTGTTCTTCTCTTTGTGAACTAAGAGCCAGATATGGCTTTGTTTTTTGTCATTTTGAGTCACTTTTGGAAATAGAGATTTCTCTACCTTGATATTTTGGGCAGAGACTGAATCTCAGACTTCTAATTTGTGTTTTCACTGGGTGGCTTTGCCTGGAAGATGCTGGTTATCTTGCATGGCTACTTATGTCAGTAGAATGGTTTAAGAGCTCTTTCTAACCTAACCTATGGCCTATCCACTTGCCTCTGGATATTGAAGTCTGTGATATTTCACTTTAAGGTTAAAGGCTCCTCATCTTAAATGTAAAGATTTATGCCCAGAAGTATAACATTTTTCCTTTGATTTGTAACACAAACATCTTTTGCAGATTCTTCCTGTTCTCCTTCTCCTTGTGCTATGGGAAACAAGTCAAGGCTTCTAATAATCGTTGAGAAAAATCTTTATTGATTGACTACACCATCCACAAGAAAAAGAAACTTAATTTAAGAAGAAAAGAATAGTTAACATGCTTGCTTGTTATTGACCAGTGGTAAACACACAAACACAAATATACAGCAGTTCTATGCCACAGAGAGTTGAGAATGAGGGAAGAGATGATATATGAGAAGGCTGGAAAGAAGAGGAAAATGAGAGGGTGGAAAGAGAGGGAAAACATGGGAGAAGGTGGGGCTTATAGGTGAAGTTGCTCTAAATGTTGGAAATCCTGCATCTTCAGATGTCAGAGTATGTTAACACCATCCTTTGGCAGATATAATAGCTGTATAGAGCAGAGGCTTTCAAATGCATTTCAGCATTAGAACTCTATTTTTGACATGAAATCTGCTGTGGATTCTTAGAGATGTAGCGCAAATAAAATCAAAGTAGCTCTGGTTCAAGAAAAATTAGGGAGGCTCTTGACCCTCCAGTCTTCCTCACCCCATCTCCACCTCAGCTCACACGTGGTTTCCCACTTTTGCCAGCTCCTGAGGAACCCCAAGGGGCACAGTTAGCAAACCACCTACTTAGAATGCATTTTTTGTCTGCTTTTATTATAGGTTTTCCAAATTAATTCTTAAGCGTTTTTCTCTAAAATTGTTAAAGTTCAATCACATGTGAAATAGTTATTTCAGTAGTTTTGTTATAGCAGTGTAATTGAGAGCTTCACAGGTTTCTGTTAATGATGTAGTAATCTAAATGGAATCTTTAAAAAGAAGTTAACACATCTGCTTGACAAGCAATTCACAAAGGATCTGACAGAGGGAGCTCATTACCTTCAAAGTAACTCCTTCCGCAGTCAGAGAAGTGTTGAAATATTTCTCTTGCTATTAAGTTTCTAAGTTGCTTCCTTACAGTGTCTATGAGAGTGTTTTTTCATGCACCTGAAGGATATAACACACTCCCATTAGTAACAGTGCCTTACTCCAGCAGTCATTTTCATTGGGAGTTAGGCAGAAGGAAATGATGAGGCATAGTAGAATCACCAGGAAGATGTATGATTGGCAATGTCTCCCATCCCTTGTTTTGACATGCCTTTATGTGAGGTGTCCTTCCTCACCTCCAAAATTTTATTTTTTGTTTATAGTGTTGTTGCGGGGGCATAAGTCCTGATCTTTTTATTTGCTTAAAGGCAATTCTTGTGGCTTTCAGGTATTTCCTTCTCTGGACCAGAAAGCACCAGGTCCAATAAGATGAGAATTGTAACCTTTTACCTTTCTAGAGTCCTTTCATGTCACATAACTTTGGTTCTTACTTAAATAAAGAGCTTTCTGAGATGTAAGAACCCCTAGTCAGCTTCTATGCCTTAGCCTTAGGTCGGCGATGATTACTGCTATGGGAACTTGGATTCTTTCATTCTATTTATACCATTTCCCCACACCTTCACCCTGCCAAAACTCACACACCATACACTGGGGAGTACCATGCTCTTTAACATATGGTAGCATAAGGGGCAGACTAAGGAATGATGGCATGGGAGGTGGCTGCCAGAAATAAAAGCTTTGATGAACTGCCTTAGTTTTTTGATAATACAAATTCCACATCCTCCTTTTCTTGTATCTCAGGAGTTTCACCACGAAATAGTCTTGAAGTCGTAACCCCTGAAGTTCTTGGTGAGAGTGACCACGGAAACTGCATCACATCCTTACAGCTGCACCCAAAAGGCTGGGCCACTCTTCTTCGGTGCTCAAGCAACAGTGATGATGAGGAGGTACAGGCAGCAGCACTCCACCTTCAACAGGGCTCACTGGACAAATTGCCATTGCCGTGTGTGCAGACCTTAGGCCGATCACTGATTGCAGTCTCTGCCTTCAAGGGCATACTGCTAGAGATCCTGCTTCTCGACTCTCCTGTTTCTGTCCTCTCTTGCTTCATATGGTATCATTATCCCTTCCAAACTCTTCTTATTCCTCTCCTTTTTGGGGAGTTGAACAAGGTGGGATGTACTTTAAAGGCCAGCATGAGCTCAGATTTTGCCCAGCTTCTTAAATCTTGCCTCCTTCATCTCACCCCCCCCAAAACAAAACAAAACAAAACAAAAAAAACCCTTGTATCATAAACATTGGTCTGAAATGTTTCAGCTAAGCTGGCTAAATGTGAGATTTTACTAAGCCAATTGAGTATCATAATTTTCTTTTTTTAAAAACCAGGGGAAACTCTGGGAAAGGAAGGGACTATACTGATGACTAGGGGGAAAGGTGTTAAATGACTTTATGATTCTCATCACTCTGGAAAGCAAGAGTCTTCCAAGGATCTCACTGGTCCTAGAGGCCACAACTGAAAGGAGAGAAGAGAAGAGCCTTTGAATTGTATAGGGGAAGAGGTAAGATACTCTAGGGCTTGGATGTACTCCAGGAATTTTTAAAATATCAACATTGTTGTTGCCCTTAGAAAAGAGAATGTATTACTACAGAAGTCACAGGCAGCCTCAGGGAACAAAAGGCTTTAAAGCATAATAACACAGAATAAGCTTAGCTTATGAAGATAAGAAAGTACGGGGCCTACAAGTTTTGTTAGTTGGGAGGGGGATAGCATTATTCTGAGTGATTTCTTGTAACAATTCTGTGGCTTTGGCAATCTGTTGAGCTTTTTAAAAATAAGGAATATCTGTAGACCTATTTGGGCTCTGTAACCTTGGTTTGTCTCCCTTCTCTCCCCCTAGTGTACTTGTGTCTATGAATTCCAAGAAGGAGCTCCAGTGCGACCTGTCTCACCTCGCTGTTCTCTACGACTGACTCATTACATTGAAGAAGCCAATGTAGGCAGGGGTTACATCAAAGAACTTTGCTTCAGCCCCGATGGGCGAATGATTTCTTCCCCACATGGCTATGGGATTCGTTTGTTGGGATTTGACAAACAGTGCAGTGAACTTGTTGACTGCTTGCCCAAAGAAGCCAGTCCCTTGCGGGTGATCCGTTCTCTGTACTCTCATAATGATGTGGTACTAACAACAAAGTTCTCTCCAACACATTGTCAGATTGCCTCAGGGTGCCTTAGTGGACGGGTTTCTTTGTATCAGCCAAAGTTTTAGGCACAACTTACATCAAATAAGGAACTCTTCTGGTGTTGACTTAGGAATTACTTCAATTTAGATGAAGTATTTTCTTTTTAGAAGATCTTATAAGTTTGGGTCAAGATCCTGGTTCTTATGGGTCCATGAACACACTTGTGACCTTAGTACTTGGTCATCCAGCATCATACAGGCATCTCCAAGTTAGACTCTATGCAGCATCATCTTTTTCAGCATTCCTCTGCTCCTGCTGATCTGTGCCACTGAACTCCAGTTCTTCTGGTCATTTTGCATGGTAGCTCTTGTCAAGTTCCTTTCTTCCTCACTATTTCTCTCTTTTCCTCTCCCTGTCCCTCTCTTTCTTTGTGTTTGTTGATTTTGGTGTCAATTTTGTGGACATTTGGCAGGAGTTTTGATTGGAGTAGGAGAAACCCATGACATTAGAATTGAATAAAACCTAGAAACTGGATATTGGCATATTGGTTGTTGAAAAAGAAATTTCATCTTCACCTATGAGTATACTTGGTCTTTTAAAGTTGCTGTTATGTTTATCCATATTGAGCACAGATAATGGCATTATTCTTATAATTGTTAAGATAATCTTACAACAAAATGTCTTTTAAGTTTCCTGTTAAAATTATAAAAAGATTTTCATGGCGAGAGGGATTTTATTGTGAAATTCTAGAAGCAAATATTACCACCTCTCTTTGTAATTTACTTTACTTGTATGAATTTAATATCTCTAGCATGTATCCTTACTTGATATTTTGTTCCTATCAACAGCATTAGAAAGGAAAGGAGACAGAATGGGCTTTAGTTATTTCTATTGCACAGAAAAGGATTTTTAAAATTAGATTAGTACAATATCTGGTCATAGAGTGATAAGAACAATGTGACTTAGATTTTCTGTATTTCATCTGCCAGATTATTTGAATCACACAGGATGATGTGTTAACAGTATTGGGGTAGAAGAGGAATCAAGAGTAGAGGTAGGGTTTTACTCATTTTTCTTCCCTGAGCCAGGTGTCACAAGCCAACTCTGTCACCATTAGTGAGGGGGAGTTGCAGTCCTCTTCAAGCTGTTATCATAAGTACGGTAGTCAGTGACTTGGATATCAAGACTAAGTGCTGATATGAAGACTTGCCTTGTGTTTTCTTATGAAACACATAAGTATAAAGCAGGACTCACGCACAAGGCTGACTGTTCTTCTTTGAATAACAGCTTTCTTGCAGTCTCCTCCACATGGGTGGCACTGTGTTTAGAAGGGATTACCAAAGGCTGGAGCAATTTAAGCTATGCACTAGCCTTGCCCTCTTAGGTTGCATTCTCTCTAGGCCACTGGTTCTCAAATATTAGGGTGTATTGTACCCATTACAGAGCTTGTGAAAAATGCAGAAACCTGAGCCTCACCTTATGAGATTCTGATTCAGCCAGGGGGAAGACAGGAATTTGCGTTTTTCATAGGAACCTCAAGTAATCTTCATTCTGAGGGTCTCTGGATTGCAGGTTGAAAAACATAACCTTAATCAGCAGTAAATTCTTCTCTACCTGGCCAGGCACGGTGGCTCATGCCTGTAATCCCAGCACTTTGGGAGGCCGAGGTGGGTAGATCACGAGGTCAGGAGTTCAAGACCAGCCTGACCAACATGGTGAAACCCCATCTCTACTGAAAATACAAAAATTAGCCAGGCGTGGCGGTATACACCTATAATCCCAGCTACCAAGGAGGCTGAGGCAAGAGAATCGCTTGAACCTGGGAGGTGGAGGTTGCAGTGAGCCGAGATTACGCCACTGCACTCCAGCCTGGGCGACAAAGCGAGACTTGTCTCAAAAAAAAAAAAAAAAAAAAAAAAAATTCTTCTCTACCCATTTGGTGCTTAAGACAATTCCCAGAAACTGTTTTCCTTATTTAATAAACAATAATAGTAATGAAAGTAATTTTAGAGGTGGAAAGTAACTTAGAATGGAATCATTTGCATTAATTGACAAATGAGAGAAATGACGTGACTTGCCTAAGGTCATCCCGCAAAGTCAGTGGCAGAGTTGGGACTTGAATTCCAGTCTTCTAATTCCTTGCTCAGGGCAATTTCTACCGTGTTATGCTGTCTGTTAGAAACAATGACTTACGGACATTTTGTCTTTAAGTTGTATTATTGTGAATACCCTTAAACTGGCCAATAGATTTTAAAAAGGCAGGCATGGGAGTAGAAGCTGAGACTTCTAGCCATAAGAAGAAAAGTATTTTAAATCTTACATAAATGTTTAAACAACCCAAAATATATCAATAAAAATGACATTTCTTTGTAGGACCTGCCAACTAGCTATTCACACACATTTATAGAGGTTAAAAGGATCTTGGCTCTAAAACAAATTTTTGAAATTAGATCATTTTACCATGGATGTTAACAAAACCGGAAATTTTTTGTCATTGAGAAAGTTACCACAAAAGCACAGTAAATACATAGACTTGCCATACATTTTGTAAAAAACACATTTTTTTAAAGAAAATAGGGATGGGCACAGTGGCTCACATCTGTAATCCCAGCACTTTGGGAGGCCAAGGTGGGAGGATCGCTTGAGTCCAGGAGTTCCAGACCAGTCTGGGCAACATGGCAAAACCCCGTCTCTACCAAAAATACAAAAATTAGATGGGCATGTTGGTACACGCCTATAGTCCCAGCTACTCAGGAGGCTGAGGTGGGAGGATGGTTTGAGCCTGGGAGGCGGAGGCTGCAGTGAGCCCAGATCGCACTATTGCACTCCACCCTGGGCAATAGAGCCAGACCCTGTCTCAAAAAATAAAAATAGGCTGGGCATGGTGGCTCATGCCTGTAATCCCAGCACTTTGGGAGGCTGGGGTGGGTGGATCACTTGAGGTCAGGAGTTTGAGAACAGCCTGGCCAACATGGTGAAACCCTGTCTCTACCAAAAATACAAAAATCATAGCCAAGCGTGGTGGCGGGCGCCTGTAATCCCAGCTACTCAGGAGGCTGAGGCAGGAGAATCGCATGAACCTGGGAGGCAGAAGTTGCAGTGAGCCGAGATGGCACCACTGCACTCTAGCCTGGTCAACAGAGCAAGACTCTGCCTCAAAAAAAAAAAAAAAAAGAAATAGATAAAATAAAATTAGTTTTGGAGGTGAAAACACCCAAACTATGTTATTATTTAAAAATAACCTACCAAGTACAGTAGTCATATTGATATTCAAAAGAAATTTCATAAATCGTATCAACTCTGGAAAGAGTTCCATGTCAGATGCTAGACCAGCAAAGTTGCCCAACTCAAAATTCAGCCAATGATTCTTTAACTACTATAGAGTACCTGTCATGTGTCAAATAATGTACAGACTTCACTACTAACCCTCACAAAAACTTGCAGAGTAGGTGGAATGAGCCCCAGTTTACTTTGGAGGGAATAGTGGGTCAGAAAGATTAAATGACTTGCCTTAAGTCATGGAGTAGGCAGTGAGAGGCAGCACTGGGATTCAAACCCACGTTTGTTTCTTTTTCCAAAGCCTGTGCTTACTGCTTTACCACTGTGCTCTTTAGTTTGTAAAGTACGGTAAGCTGGCCTGTTATTTGTTTAGTATCTTCTGGAAGTTTTTTATTTTTATTTTTTTATTTTTATTTTTATTTTTTTATTATAGACCTAGCTTACCATTTGTATCATGTAAAAAAAAATTATAAGATTAACAGTTTCCATGAGACTATCATAAACTCAGGGCACACATTCTGGTCATTCCTAACTAAAAAACTTCAAGCAGAATAAGCAGCTGTAAAATAGAAAAGAAAAATGAAGGATAAATGGCCTTGTGAAAAAAACAGAGCCACACAGATGAGAATTAAAAATTAACAGCCAGCAAACTCAAAAGAACCTTTGTCCTCCCTGAGGTATGGGGATGATCAAAAAGTTATCAAGGAATATTAATCAAGGAATTAAAGGGCATCAGGAATGCTATAGTATTGGAGGAAATTACTTAACATTTCAAAACCCCATTTCACTTGAGTGTAAAATCTAATCTGATGTTTTTTACTCTGAATTTTATTCAGTTTTATTCATAATTCATAATTGGTAATGTAGTATAATTGTTAGTAAATGTAGTACAAATTGTGCTCCTGTTTTAAAAAGTTTTCTGCAGAACAGTGCATTTATGGCAATGCTATGTTTAATGAGTTAGGGACATCAAATATATAGTAGTTCCTTATTTTCAGTTGTGAAAATGAAATGGCTAAAGCAGAAGAGACATCTATTTTAGTCTTTTAAAAATGTGTGTGGGTGGTCTTTTTTCCTTAGAAGCCCAAAGCACATGTATATTTTGTTATTTCTCCTTGCTATATTCCTGAGACTATACTAAAAATTTTAAGAAAAGGAACAAGAAAAAGGTAATTCATGTGTTCCCCACTCCTGTGTCTAGAACCAAGATCCCATTATATCATTATTAAAATTGTGTTATCTAGAAAGTGCAATATAGGGAAAACACTCTGAGAATCTTTTAAAAGCCTAGTGTTTCCCTTATTTGTCAGAATATGTGGTACTGGCATCCATAAGTATCTGTTAAACTTGCATTTAGCAGGACAAATAGTGTGATACTTATACTGATGACAATCATCCCCATTTAATGACCAGCAGTCACTGAGTGCTGTGAAAATTCACTCAGTGATACCCCGTGTTGGTCTTGAAGGAAACCATACATATTAATTTTTGGATAGCTAATGTATATCTCTTAAGTGCCAAAATTTAAAACTTGTAATTATTTTTGATGTGAGTATTTCAGGTATGTTCGTATACCTTTCTGCCTTCTTCTTAAACATCATGCTCAGTATAATTCACATTTTCATAATGAAAACTTAAAGTTATATTCATAATGTATTATTATAAGTATCCAGCTCTGATGTATGTAAAACACTTCGTAAAATGTAAAGGGCTATAACAAATATGTTATAAAGTGATTCTCTCAGCCCTGAGGTATACAGAATCAAATCATTTGCCTCAGATTGCTGTTGGATTTAAAAATTTTTTAAGTATCTGCTAAGTAATTTGCTATGTCTCCTCCCACACTATCAATATGCCTGCCTCTAACAGGCTCCCCACTTTCTTCTAATATGCTGTTATGAGCTTGGACTTGAGATAACTGTGCCTGTTCAGAGTGTCTACAGGAAGAGCTGGAAAAACTCTGGGGGGCACAGTCTTTGAGACAGCTCTTTTGGTTGCTTTCCACTTTTCTGAAAGGTTCCCAGTAACCTTCTAGATAAAAGAAACTCCCAGTTAAAGCCTAGGCTACCAATTTTTTTTTAGTTGCAACTACGTGAGATATACTACAAACTAAGGATGCTGCTAGATTAAGGAATAAACAGCAATGTACCAAAGTACAGCAAAGCAACAACAAAGGCTCTGTATTTGCAGAGGGGTCTATCATGCTTTTAAGAAAAAAGAAGAAGAGTACAGGAAAAAAATTCAGATAGACAAAAGAGTATTTTGGATGCCATTAAACTTTTTCAATAACCATTAAAAACATAGGCT